GGGATGTTTGGGAAAACTTCGGAGAGGTTTGGAAAAGCTTCTGGGAAGTTTGGAAACACTTCATGAAAGTTTTGGAAAACTTCAAGAAAGTTCGAGAAACTTCAGGAAAGCTCGAGAAACTTCAGGGAAGCTTGGAAAAGCTTCAGGTAAGTTCAAGGAAACTTCGGGAAAATTTGGGGAAATTTCTGAGAATTTCGGAAAAGTTCGAAGAAACTTCTGAGAAGTTCGGAGAGACATCGGGGAAGTTCGGGGAAATTTCGGGGAAGCTCGGGGAAATTTCGGGGAAGTTCGGAAAAACTTCTGGAAAATTCGGGTAAACTACGAGGAACTTCGGGGAAACTTTTGGGATGTTCGGGTAAACTTCGGAACAGTTGGAGAAAACTTCGGGGAAGTTTGGGAAAACTTCGGAGACGTTCAAGAAATCTTCAGAGAAGTTAAAGGAAACTTCTGGAAAGTTCGGAGAAACTTCTGGGAAATTCAGGGAAACTACGAGGAAGTTCTGGGAAACTTCACAGAAGGTCGGGAAAACTTCTGGTATGTTTGGAAAAGCATCCGGGAAGTTTATGAAAACTTCATGGAAGTTTGGGAAAACTTCATGGAAGTTTGGGAAAACTTCATGGAAGTTTGGGAAAACTTCATGGAAGTTTGGGAAAACTTCATGGAAGTTTGGGAAAACTTCATGGGAGATTGGAAAAACTTCATGGAAGTTGGGGAAAACTTCATGGAAGTTTGGGAAAACTTCATGGAAGTTTGGGAAAACTTCATGGAAGTTTGGTAAAACATCGGGGAAACTTCAGGAAAGTTTGGGAAATTTAAGGGAAGTGTGGGAAAACTTCGGGGAATTTTTGAAAAATTGCGGGGAAGTTTGGTAAAACTACGGGGATGTTTGGAAAACTTTGGATAAGTTCAATGAAATTTCAAGGAAATTCAGACAACTTCAGGGAAGTTCGGGAAACTTCAGGGAAGTTTGAGGAAACTTCGGGAAGCTCGGGAAAACTTTTAAGAAATTCGGGGAAACTTTGGGAAGGTTTGGGAAAACTCGGGAAAGTTCGATGAAACTTCAGGGAAATTTGTTGACATTCACCAGTGCTAGATTATCCAACTCACAATTGTCAATACCAGAATCGATCCTCAAAAGCAAAACAATCAAATCAATGTTGGGCGAAATGATTATTTAGAATATTGTCCACCGCAGCATCAATATATCGATTCGAAACTCGACCTAATGCATTGAAACGCCATTGAAACGCCACTGAATTCACTTCGACCAATCGGATGATGATAAAAATTGATTTGGTCGGAGCGCTTCATTTGTATTTGAGAATATTGGGTGCAAATATTCATATCACGCGTTCTTATTGACTTCGTTCGGTAGCATGTAGCAAGTATCGTACTAAACGAATAATTGTCTTGTTAACTCTGAAATCATGGATTTATTTGATGTTTTCTGCTCGATAGGCCCAAAATGGGCGATTAGGCCGAAGCAGTTCTTTACCCTAGTTGTCTTTATTTTCAGCTAAGTTGAGTGTAGGAGAAATGATTTTTATCAGCACTGATCGACACGTCGTCTCCATTTCGAAAATACCCACATTGACACTTATTCTGAACTCGATATTGGATTCCAAAATGACGTAGGATATCAATTTTCGTCATCCACCGGTCGGTAAAAATAACCATATTTTATAGTTTTTGACACATGTTGGATTCCAAAATGGCATCTGTCATCAATTTTCGAGCTCTAAACGTCGTTCCCGTTAAAAAAAACCTTTTTCTTCTTCTTCTTCTTCTTCTTCTTCTTCTTCTTCTTCTTCTTCTTCTTCTTCTTCTTCACATTCTTCTTCTTCTTCTTCTTCACCTTCTTATTCTTCTTCTTCTTCTTCTTCTTCTTAGCATTTCAAGCTTATTGCTTATAGCATATTAGCTTATTGTGTGCGTTCAACTTAGTGTTCTAGATGCACTTTTACAGTTATTAATTGAGGGCTTTCGATGCCTGTACCATTTTTGCATTACTATAATTGTGTGGCAAGTATAATCATACTCTATGCCCAAGAAAGTCGACAAATTGTCCAATCCAGCATGGTCTTGCTTTGTAGCTACACCTTTACCGATTGAGCTAAGGGAGCCCCCTCATAAAATACCTATATTGTAAGGTATTTGACACTTTTGCTGAACCCGAGTGCTGCCATCTTGCATTCCAAAATGGCGTCGGACATCGATTTTCAGCCTCTTTGTGCCGTCCTTGATTCGAAAATACCTCGAAATTTGATGTAAATTTAGGTGCTCTAAGACTGACATAAACGAGCGTCAATTTTGACATAAAATTGAGTCATAATAGACGCGAAATTCAGCTCAATCAAACGTACTTTTGAACTTTTCAGTCTCGGAACACTTAATTTTACATGACATCCCAAGTTACATTTCAAGTTCTATCGATGTTTTAAAGCATTCTACAAGTCTAAACCATGGTCTGCAGAACCCTAATAAAACCCAAATTGTTACTTGGGATGTTTTTTTACGTCTCATCCTTTCTGTCAACTGTGGATTCCGTCACGTGTAAGATTAGGTATTTCTAAGTGTGTATTTGAATCTTTCAGATTGCCGCCATATTGGGATTCCAAAATGGCATCGGACATCGATTTTTTAAATCTACAAGTCGTCCCAGTTCCGAAAATACCCATATTGTAAGGTATTTGACACTTTTCCTGAACCCGAGTGCTGCCATCTTGGATTTCAAAATAGCGTCGGTTATTGATTTTCGGCATCGATGCATCGTCCCCGTTCCGAAAATATCCAATATTGAAGGGTATTTGACACTTCTTCTGAAATCGGAAGCCGCCGGATTGCGGTTCCGTTAATACCCTATTGATGGGTATGTGGCAGTATTTCACCCTTTTTCTTAAACCAAAGTCGCTATCTTGGATTTTAAAATGGCGTCATACGTCGGTTTTTAGCCACTAGACTTCACTCGGATTTCAGTAATATTCGGTAGGGTATTCGATATTTTTCCTCAAGCCGGAAGCCACCATATTTGATTTAAAAATGATGTTGGAATTAGATTTCTGGCGTCTAGACGTCATCCCGATTCCAACAATACCTGATTGATGGTTATTTGACACTTTTTCTGAATTCAATAGCCGCGATCTTGCATTACAAAATGGCATCTTACATCGATTTTTGGCATCGATTTCTTGGAATTTAAAATGACGTCGAACATCGATTATCGTCATCTTCGAGTCATCTTTGTTCTGAAAATGCCCATATTAATGAGTATTTGACACTTTTTTCTGAACCCAAGTGCCGCCATCCTGGATTTCAAAATGATGTCGGATATTGATTTTTGGCATCGTCCCCGTTTTGAATATATTCATATTGTAGGGTATTTGACACTTCTTCAGAAAGTGGAGTTCGCCATCTTGGATTTCAATATGGCGTCGGACAACGATTTCCAGCCTCTAGACTTCACAATCAGATTTCGGTAATACCCATATTGTGGGGTATTCGACATTTTTTTAAGCTGGAAGCTGCCAGAAAAATACTCATATTGATGGGTATTTGGTAGTTTTTCCCTATTTTTCTTAAACTGGAACCCTTCATGTTTGCTTTCAAAATGGCGTCAGATATCGGTTTCCGACGTAACTCCGATTTCAAAAATACCCATGTTGATGGGTACATATGTATTTGATGTCAAACATCCCTCTTCTAAACATTCGGTTTAATGACTCAAGACTCAAGACTCAACATGCAAACCAAACTACGTCCTTAAGTTAAATAATACTTAGAATAAGACAACGAAGAATATTCCTAAAGAACTGCTCATGAGAAAAAGAATGGTAAATTTCGTGTTTCGGTCCAATGGCTCATCATTCCAAAGGAAATGCTCACATCAAAACTCAGCTAATCCTTTGGGTCTCATCTTAAAATATTAGAAATCATGAATGCACAACGAAGATTAAGATTGTTTACAAAGAACAGCTCATGAGAGAAAGAATGGAAAACTTTATGATTTTTCTTTGAAATTTGATTTATGCCTATCGTCTTTTATGTCAATTGTATTTATGCCTAACGTATGTACACAGACAAACAGATGTAACTCTTTGTTCTGGATCATCGTTCATGCATTGACAAGTGATTTGAATATGGTCATTTCCGTGAACTACTCACCGCAGCGCTAGCATCGGATCACTTTGACCTTTCTATATATTCTGTCTATCTTGCATGCAACATTGTTTGCGACTTAGCGAGCTAGCTTGTTTTCTGCGAGAAGCTCGAGAGATGTCACTACTGAGGTCCTATTGTTTAGGTACAATGTTTTCAAGAAAAACTTATTCAAAGAGTTACGTCTGTTTGTCTGTGGTATGTATGCCTAACGTCGTGCACCAGGAGTGATGAACCAGTGACCACCATGACAGGCCTGATTGAAACGTATTCACTGTTCCTAGCGTACCTTTATAGCAAAAACCACCAGAATTTCGTGCTATTCAATATTGCTCAATCAGTCCGTTAAATTTCCCAACCCATGATCAGTCTGATCGTTCTCCGTACCTGTAAATCTGTCAAATTGATGTCAATATTTACAATAATGCATTCCTTTGAACATTCAGAAATCATAAACAAAAAAAACCTCTACAGATCTGTGATTGCGAACCTATTGCTTACACACGCGTTGCGATCTCCGTAACGATCCTCACTGTTCGAGGTGAACTCGAACCGTGCCGGCTGCACACTTGTATGTACAACCCCATTAGCATAAACTGCGATTTGCTCGATTGCCTCTCCGCACAACGTGGGCAATCGAAACGGGTTCACATTTCAATTAATCGAGTGCACGCTCGCACATGTTGATGGGGGTAAAAGTTTCGCGGAAAGCGAAAGCCAAAACAAACTCACATTTCGCGTGAATCGCTAGGAAAATGCAACAACCTTTCAGCTGTCGATCGCTTGGCGAATGGCGAACTATGATCGTATAATTTTCTGATGAAATTTTTACCCTCCATTTGCAGCCGCCCTCGAAATCATCGGCCTACATCCAGCGGAGACGCCCGACAACTCGCAGCGTAACCTAGTCTTTGTGGGGGTCATGACGGCCAAAGATTTCCTTCAGAGCCGGGCCAAGGCCGTTTACGACACGTGGGGCAAGACGATCCCCGGCAGGATTGCCTTCTTCAGCTCGGAGGAATCCGTTGCGGACAGTAAGACATCATGTCGCATCGGTTGTAGAATTATTTGAAATGACTCTTGATTTTTTGTTTTCCTCAGATCTCCCGCTGGTGGCGCTGAAGGGCGTTGACGATCGGTATCCACCGCAGAAGAAGAGCTTCATGATGCTGCACTACATGTACGAACACTACATAGACAAGTTTGAGTGGTTTGCCCGGGCTGACGATGACGTGTTCATCCGGACGGACAAGCTGGAAAAGTTCCTACGATCGGTGGACAGTTCAAAGCCCCAGTTCATTGGGCAGGCTGGGCGCGGCAATAGCGAAGAGTTTGGGCTGCTGTCGCTGGAGTTTGACGAGAACTTCTGCATGGGCGGCCCCGGAGTGATCATGAGTCGCGAGACGCTGCGAAGAGGTTTGATTGAACAATGATGCCCATTCGACCACGATCATTAAAATTGACTACCATTTCAGTGGCTCCACACATTCCAACTTGCCTCAAAAACCTCTACAGTACCCACGAAGACGTGGAGGTCGGACGATGTGTTCAAAAGTTCGCGGGTATTCCCTGTACCTGGAACTACGAGGTAAAATCTCCCACAACCCACTCTCATTCCACAGCACTAATCAGCGATCGCCAATTCCCAGATGCAATCCATTCTGCACCACAACAGCAGCGGAAGCCGTGCCTTCAGCGGGAACCTCAAGAACAAGGAAGTTCACAGTGCCATCACACTACACCCGGTGAAAAAGCCCGCCTTTATGTACCGCCTGCACGCCTACACGCTGGGGCTCAAAGCCCAGGAGCTACGCCAGCAGTCCCTGATGCTCCATCGGGACATTGCCCAAATGACGGCCCTGCTGCAGATCCCTAGGATCAACAAAAACCTCGCTCCCGGCGTTCCGATCTTCCCCGCGGACCAAACCAACATCGACTACCTGGGGGATCACAACATCCTAGGTTCGTAGACCCCCGTTCTCGCTCCCCAAGGCTAATGTTCTCGCTAGCAACATTGACTATTCTACTTCAAGGTTCGACGCCAGATCTCAACCGTCATCGGCCGGTGCACCTAGAAGAGATAATCGAGTGGGACTTCATCGCCAAGAGCCTCTACTCGGCGATGCATCCAAATCCGAAGCGAAAGATTGAATCATCTCTCAAGGAGGGTCTGAACGATGTCGTTCGAGAGGTTAGTAAATAGCGTGTCAACGAGGTAATTGATTGCTTGGCAAACAATGCGGCTTTCAATGAACCGGTTGCGAGCTCTTGAGTTGGTACTTGAAGATCTAATAGATGTATGTCTTAATTGTATGTCTCTCTTCATTTGCTCGTAGATCATGGAGCACATCAATAACTTCTCGCGCCAGCGGGGTCGCGTGATCGAGTTTCGCGAGCTGCTGTACGGATATATGCGCGTTAACAGCTTGTACGGACAAGATCTCATCTTGGACTTGCTGCTGGTGTATAAGAAGTACCGGGGGAAGAAGATGACCGTCCCGGTTCGGAGGCATCTCTACATCCAACGATCATTCACGGACATTCGGGTTCGGGAAATCACCGACGAGGTTATCCCAGCCCACGCAGTGACCTTGGATCGACGGTTACCCAATGAAATTACCCGACCTTTTGATAATAGCACTGGATTAGGTACCTTACTAGATTACCTCCCATGTAAGTGTTATCTAATTCACTCTTTCTATTTTTTTTTTTCAGATCGCATGCGATCATTTCTGAACAGCGGCTGGGAGCGCTTGTCGGACTCGTTTGCCATCAGCAACCCACCAACGACCGAGATCTACAAGGATCGAATCGTTTTCATCATTCCGCTCGCTGGCCGATCGGAAACCTTCATGCGATTCCTGCGCAACTTTGAACAGGTGGCCCTCAAGCAGGACCAACGCACGGATTTGCTGGTCTCCATGTACGTCGACCCATCCGATTCACCGCTCATAAGGGGACTCCTTGATCATCTTCGGATGCAGTACCCGCAGAATCGCATCAACTACCTTCAGCTCCATGGAAACTTCTCCCGCGGAGTAGCCCTCGATCGTGCCATCAAGAGTCCATTCTGCAAACAGGACGACGTCCTCTTCTTCATCGACGTCGACATGATCTTCACTCAACGGACGCTCGATCGGATACGAGCTAACGTGATACAAAACCGGCAGGTCTACCTGCCGATAGTCTTCAGCGAATACGATTCCCACCCGGACGCCCTGGGTCGTAACTACGGGGATTCGGGTCCCAAACCAATCACCACCGAACACCTTCATCGATATTCCGACGACAGTCGAAACTTCTCATCCCCGTACCCGGTCACCAACCTGAACGGGTACTTCCGCCAGTTCGGCTACGGCCTAGCCGGAATCTACAAATCGGACATCCTTCGGCCAGACCTCGGTGGCTTCAACACCGACATCACCGGGTGGGGTCTGGAGGATGTGAAATTTCTCGAAAGCATCATCGCTGCCAACCTGAAGGGAAGCCAGCGGTTGCTGGATGTGGCCGACGGGAAGGTGGATCCGTTCCAGGATCCACACAGGCAGCAGCAGCAGGAGCTGTCCGTATTCCGCGCACCGGACCCGTCGCTGGTGCACATCTTTCATCCGATCAATTGTGATAGAAACCTTGAGGAGGCACAGTTCAAGATGTGCCTCGGAACGAAAGCCAATACTCTCGGGAGCTTCCGGACGTTGGAGGAACGGTTCCTCCACGACCGGGAGCTGCTGCTGTTCGGGAGAAGAACCAAGGGCAGTCGATAGCGATCAGTTAATGGGGGGAGGGGGGGGGGGGGTTAGGTTTAAGTATGGGGTTTACATTAGGGACTAATATTGTGTAAGATTATAGATCGAATTAAATTTTAATGACAATTTAGGAATTTGTGTGGACTTTGCGTACAGATCGTCTTGTGCCGAACGAACGGGGTCGTTGAATCCTCTCTCCCAAATTATGATTGACTGAAATGGTTAAACTGGGGCCTCTCTTAGCTCAGTCGGTAAAGGCGCAGCTGTAAAGCAAGACCATGCTGGTGGTGGTGGCTGGATTCGACTTCAGGTCCGGTCTAGGAATTTTTCGGGTCGTAAAATTGCTTGACCTCCCTGATAGTGTTTCCTACCCGGGACATCCCGGGAAATTTACCAAAAGTTACGTTTCCCGGGAATCAATTTAAGCAGGTGAAAACAATAAGAATTGTCCCAGAAGGGTCATGAGAATTATCTAAGGAAGAAGTTTGCAGAGGAATTTTCTGAGGGGAACAAAAAGAAATTTCTGGAGGAATCCAGAAAAATTTTTCGTGGAAATCGGAAGACATTTTCAAACTCGCGGTTTAATCCTGATTTTCTGAAAGTCTCAATCTAGATTAGATTTTAATTCCCTATTCGGTAAGCATCAAGAATGGGTTAAACTTAAAAATCACGCAGACATTCTCTTTCATAGAGGAGAATGTCTATCACAAGCAACATTTCCACTTTTACTATGGTCAACAAGTCCATTATGAGCCTTGTAAACCTCTTCAAAACCGTGATAAAACCTAAATTGTAAATTTGTATATGTGAGTGTTTTCAGTCTTGCAGGTGAAAGAGAATTGATTTGTATTGATTTGCAATGTGACTGCAAATAATTAAGTAATACATTTTTCAAAGACTGCTGGATTCCGGCTTTCCGGAGCGCTTCATTATTCTGGGAAATCTCTGAAAAATTCGTAAAAAGCTTTAAGGAAGTACTCTTTGTACTCCCCTGAAGTTGAACACGATCGATCAGACTGTCTCAAAATTCAGTCGAGTCGACTCAATTTCGTCGTCAACAGTGTGTTGAATTTTCCGGAATTTTCCAGGAAAACTTTTCGAATATGAGGAAAATCGATAGAGGTTTCACTTAGTCTATTAGTTTAATCCTAGACTGAGTATCATACTCATGGATTTTACTCATATTTGAGAAAGTTTTCTTGGATTGCCAAATTTTGTTGACTTGACTTAATTTTGTGGTCTGATCAACCGTTCAGAAAGTTCCCTCGAGTTTTCCTGAAGTTCTATCCGAAATTTTGTAAAATCTCCTCAAAACTTCTCTTTGTTCATACTGAAGTTCCTTAACGTTCAATTTATTGTATTTTTGAAAAATTGAACTGCACTTTTCTTACGACGCATCATTTAAGATTGCAAAAGCTCGGGTCAATCTATTCCTTTCGCTATTTTACACAAAACGACGCGAGTTTTAACAATATGAAATATGCGTCGCAAAATCTGCTTCTGAATTATTCCAAAATACATCAAAGTAAATTGAACCTCACTGCTAAAACCTGAAATTTCTTCTGAAGTTAACATCAGTCCTCTCCTTACTGACCCGAAGTTTCCTTAGAGCTTTACTGAAGATTCTTCGTAAGCTCCCTGAAGTTACATCAAAACTTCCAAAAAGTTTCCTTGCAGTATCTCTGAAGCAACTCAGCTAAAATCCTCACCGAACATACCAAAAGTATCCTTGGAACTAAGTTAAGTTTCCGCAAAGCTGGATTTCATAAAAGTTTTTCCATTAGGTTTCCTCTTAACTACTCTAAAGTTTTCCAGAAGTTCCTTGCAGCTAATACTAAAAATTGAAGATTTACCGGAGTTCACCAGAAGCCCTCTTAGAACACCCCAAAAGGTTCCCTGAAGTGCTCTGGGGTTTTCCCTGAATTTCCAGAGCAACTTCCTTGATGTTCCAGAGTAACTTCCTTGAAGTTCCAGAATAACTTCCTTGAAGTTCTAAAAGAAATTCACTGATATTCCTGAGTAACTTTACTGAAGTTCCAGAGTATCTTCCCTGCAGTTCCAGAATAATTGCACTGAAGTTCCAGAATAATTACACTGAAGCTCCAGAATAACTTCCCTGAAGTTCCAGGAAAAAATCCCTGAAGTTCTAGAGTAACTTCCCAGAAGTTCCAGAGTAACTTCCAAGAAGTTCCTGAGTAACTTCCAATAAGTTCCAGAGTAACTTCCCATAACTTCCATAGTAACTTCCCATAAGCTCCAGAGTAACTTTTCAGAAGTTCGAGAGCAATTTCCAATAAGTTCCACAGTAACTTTCCATAACTTCCAGAGTAACTCCCTGAAGTTCTGGAATATCTTCTCTAAAGTTTTAGACTACCTTCCCTGAAGTTCCAGAGTAACTTTCATGAAGTTCGAGAGTAACTTCCCAGAAGTTCCGGAGGATCTTCCTAGATGTTCCAGAGTAACTTCCCAGAAGTTTCAGATTAACATCCCTGAAGTTCCAGAGTAACTTCCCAGAAGTTTCAGAGTAACTTCCCTGAAGTTCCAGAGTAAATTTTAGGAAACTTACTCTGGAACTTCTGGGAAGTTGGAAGTTCAGAGTAATTTCTTTGAAGTTCCAGAGTGACTTCCCTGAAGCACCAAAGAACCTTCCTTGAAGTTCAGAGTACCTTCCCTGAAGTTCAGAGTAACTTCCCTGAAGTTCCAGAGTAACTTTCCAGAAAATCCACACCAACTTCCTAGAGGTTCCAGAGTAAGTTCCAGAAGTTCCAGAGTAACTTCCAGAAGTTCCAGAGTAACTTCCAGAAGTTCCAGATTAACTTCCCAGAAGTTCCAGAGTAGATTCCCAGAAGTTCCAGGGTAACTTCCCTGAACTTCCAGAGTAACTTCCCTGAAGTTCCAGAGTGACTTCTCAGAAGTTCCTAACTTTACTTAGTTCAGAGTACCTTCCCTGATGTTCAGTGTACCTCCCCTGATGTTCAAAGTAACTTCCCAGAAGTTCAAGAGTAACTTCCTTGAAGCTCTAGAGAAACTTTCTAGAAGTTCTAGAGATACTTCCCAGAAGTTCCAGAGTAACTTTCCAGAAGTTCCAGAGCAACTTCGCAGAAGCTCCAGAGAAACTTTCTATAAGTTCCAGAGTAACTTCCCTGAAATTTAGAGTAACTGCCCAGAAGCACCAGAGTAACTTCAAAGAAGTTCTAGAGTAACCTCCCAGAAGTTCCAGAGTAACTTCCCAAAAGCTCCAGAGAATTTTTCTAGAAGTTTCAGAGTAACATCCCAGAAGCTCCAGAGTAACTTCCCTGAAGCTCTTAAGTATATTTTCTGAAGCTCCAGAGGACCTTCCATGAAGCTCAGAGTATCATCCCAGAAGTTCCAAAGTAATTTCCAAAAAATACCAGAGAAACTTACATGAAGTTCAGAGTAACTTCCCAGAAGTTCCAGAGTAAATTTCCTGAAGTTCAGAGTAACTTCCCAGAAGTTCCAGGGCAACTTCCCTAAAGTTCCAGAGTAGCTTCCAGAAGTTCCAGAGTAACTTCCCAGAAGTTCCATAGTAACTTTCTTGAAGTTCCACAATGACTTCCAAGAAGATCCAGTGTACCTTCCCTTTAGCTCCAGAGTACCTTCCTTGATGTTCAATGTACTTTCCCTGAAGTTCAGAGTAACTTCCCAGAAGTTCCAGAGCAACTTTGCAGAAGCTTCATAGTAACTACCCTGAAATTCAGAGTAACTTTCCAGAAGCTCCAGAGTAACTTGCCAGAAGTTCTAGAGTAAACTCCCAGAAGTTCCAGAGTAACTTCCCAGAAGCTCCAGAGAAACTTTCTAGAAGTTTCATAATAATTTCCTTGAAGTTCCAGAGTAACTTCCCTGAAGCTCTTGAGTTCATTTTCTGAAGCTCCAGAGGATCTTCCCTGAAGTTTAGAGTACCTTCCATTGAGCTCAGAGTAACATCTCAGAAGTTCCAGAGTAATTTCTAAGAAGCTTACATGAAGTTCAGAGTAACTTCTCAGAAGTTCCACAGTAACTTTACAGAAGTTCCACAGTAACTTTCCAGAAGGTCCAGAGTAACTTCCCTGAAGTTCCAGAGTAACTTCTCATAAGTTCCACAGAAGCTTCCCTGAAGTTCTAGATTAACTTCTCTGAAGTTCCAGAGTAACTTCCCAGTAATTCCAGAGAAACTTACCTGAAGTTCAGAGTAACTTCCCAGAAGTTCCAGAGTAGCTTCCCACAAATTCCAGAGTAACTTCCCAGAAGTTCCAGGATAAATTCCCTGAAGTTCCAAAGTAACTTCCCTAAAGTTCCAAAGTAACTTCCCTGAAGTTCCAGAATACCTTCCCAGTAGTTCCAGAGTGACTTCCCTGAAGTTCCAGAGTAACTTCCCTGAAGCTTCAGAGTACCTTCTCTGAAGGTTAGAGTACCTTCCCTGAAGTTCAGAGTAGCTTCCCTGAAGTTCAGAGTAGCTTCCCATAAGTTCCAGAGTAACTTCGCAGAAAATCTAGACCAACTTCCCGGAAGTTCCAGAGTAACTTCCCAGAAGTTCCAGAGTAACTTCCCAGAAGTTCCAGAGTAACTTCCCAGAAGTTCCAGAGTAACATCCCATAGGCTCCAGATTAACTTTCCTGAAGTTCCAGAGTAACTTCTCAGAAAATCTAGACCAACTTCCCGGAAGTTCCAGAGTAACTGCCCATTAGCTCCAGATCAACTTTCCTGAAGTTCTAGAATATCTTCCCTGAAGTTTCAGACTAACTGCCCTGAAGTTCCAGAGTAACTTCCTTGAAGTTCGAGAGTAACTTCTCAGAAATTCCAGATGTTCCTAGATGTTCCAGAGCAACTTCCCAGAAGTTCCAGAGTAAATTTCCTGAAGTTCAGAGTAACTTCCTAGAAGTTCCAGAGTAACTTCTCATAAGTTTCACAGAAGCTTCCCTTAAGTTCAAGATTAATATCCCAGAAGTTCTAGAGTAACTTCTCAGAAATTCCAGAGAAACTTACCTGAAGTTCAGAGTAACTTCCCAGAAGTTCCAGAGTAGCTTCCCAGAAGTT